AGAGAGCAATATACAGATATCTGTACCTGGCTTTATCATTCCTTAACATTTGGATCCATTTGTTTCAGATGGTTTTAAAAGATACAAAACAGCACAGACAGCTGAAGTGCTTGGTATTTCTCACCCATCCTCCCATCTCATTGTCCTTCATCCCTCACAGAAGTAAGCACTGTTCTGATTTCTGCCACTCTCCTGGCTGATATTAAACTTCTACATCATATGTACAGATCCATAAACATGATTTAATATTGTGTTATTTGTTTGTAAATTTTGTATAGGTGATATTGTGTGTACATATAAAAGTCAGCACTGGCCAGGCGCGGTGGCTCACGCCTGTAATCCCAGCACTTTGGGAGGCAGAGGTGGGCAGATCGCTTGAGCTCAGGAGTTAAGATCAGCCTGGGCCACATGGTGAAACTCCAACTCTACAAAAAATACAAAAGTTAGCTGGGCCTGGGGGCATGTGCCTGTCTGTAGTCCCACTTACTCAGGAGGCTGAGGCAGGAGGATCGTTTTAACCCAGGAGGCAGGGGTTGCAGTGAGACGAGATCATAGACATTGCATTACAGCCTGGGTGAGAGGAGTAAACCCTATCTCAAAAAAAAAAAAAAGGCTGAGCATGGTGGCTCATGACTGTAATCCCAGCACATTGGGAGGCTGAGGTGGGTGGATCATGAGGTCAGGAGATCAAGATCACTGGCCAAGATAGTGAAATTCCATCTTCACTAAAAATACAAAAGTCAGCAGCCCAGCATGGTGGTGCACTCCTGGAATTCCAGCTACTCAGGAGGCTGAGGCAGGAGAATTGCTTGAACCTGGAAGGCAGAGGTTGCAGTGAGCTAAGATCATACCACTGCGCTCCAGCCTGGGTGACAGAGTAAGATTCTATCCCGGGGGCTGGAGTATGGGGAAACTCAGCACAAATGACAGGGTCAACAGCAGAGGAGAAGAGACACTGGAGCCACGCCGTCTGGGTTCAAATAGCAGTAGTGCCACTTACTTTCTGTAGCTCTTGTGCAAATTACTTAACCTCTCTGTGCCTCTGTTTCCTCATCTGTTAAACAAGTAACATAGTGAAACCTGTAAGTTGTTTCCAGGATTAAATGCCTTGACATCTAGAAAGCATTTGGGACAGTGCCTGGTACAAACCAAGTGCTACCTGAATATTATCTGTTACTATTCAAATGTTGTATAGTATTCCATTGTATAAATACATTTCAATTTATTTATCTAGTCTCCTTTAGATAGATAAGCTGTGTCCAATTTTTACTATTATGTATGTTCTTGAACATATCTCCTTGTGCATGTCTGGCACATTTTCTCTAGTGACTATATCTAAGAATAAAATTACTGGGTTTGGGTCATTCCCAACTTTGGCTCTACCAGATATTAACATATTACTCTGAAAAGTATGGTAAAAATTCCCACTCTTGGCTAGGCACAGTGGCTCATGCCTGTAATCCCAGCACTTTGGGAGGCCAAGGCAGGCAGATTGCTTGAGCTGAGGAGTTCAAGACCAGCCTGGGCAACATGGTGAAAGCCCGTCTCTACTAAAAATACAAAAATTAGCCAGGGATGGTGGCCTGCGCCTGTAATCCCAGCAACTCCACTGGCTGAAGCAGGAGAATCCCTTGAACCTGGGATTTTGAGGCTGCAGTGAGCCGAGATCACACCACTGCACTCCAGCCTGGATGATGAAGTGATGTTGTGGGCTTTCTGCTTCTTAGCTCAGGTAGGTCCAAGTTCTTGTCTCATGACCAGAAAGAATTAGAGACATGGAGACTGGACAGTGAGTGGAGCAGAATTTATTAAGCGAAAGGAAAACTCTCAGTAAAGAGGGGATATGGAGGGATAGGGGTGGTTCCCCTACCTGAAGGCTGGAAAAAGTCCCCCCATATGGCTGATCTTGGAGGCTTTTATGGGCTCAGAATAGGAAGTGCATGTTAATTGGCTTGTGAGTATGCAGAAAAGATCAAAGTGAAGGCACCACTCAAAGGTGGGCACAACAGTATAGAAAACCAATAGAAAAGGGTAGGTATATGTAAAGTAGGTGAAGGGTGAGGTCCAATCAGAGGAAAGCGCACCAAACGGGACGACATGTTCTCAATCCAGTCTGAGGATCTAACCCGTGGCTTGGCTTTTGGGCTTTAAACTATCTTTGGCTTGGAGGTGGGATTTCACCGGGGACCTGCCCCATCTGCCTAGGCATTTGGCTGCCTTCTGCTGCTCTCAGTGAGACTTTGTGTCAAAAAAAATAAAAATAAAAATAAAAAAAAACTACTCTCACTCAAAGTTCATCATTTTTGCATTTGTAAAATGAGGAGGGGTGGACTGAATGATCTCTGAGGCCTTTCTACATTCTCTGTTCCCTTTCCTTGAATGCCTCACTTTCTTTCTTCTTCACCTAGAGATAAACTAGTTCAGGGAATATCAAACTGTTTCTTCTGAGTCTACACAGCTGTTGTTTCATATTTATATTCTGAACAGTCTATAAACTTGGGTATCCAATAACACAGTTTCCGTTAACATGAGGAAGAACATTACCTAAATTTACAGTGTCCTAAGTAGGCTTACTTCCAACACTGTTAAAACAAATCAGTAGTTTTCAGACTTTTTAAAGCAATGGACTTTTTAAAAATAAAAATGTAAATTTAATTTTAATATAAATGACGTTCGCTCCGTTTTGCCCCCTTTTGCTTATCTCTACAACATGCCTTAAACATCTGTAAGCTTTTTTGTAATGCAATTATTATTATTCCCTTAGTGAACTTCCAGAAATTAAGAAATACTCAAATGCTTCAATGTACCTTATTACCTTATTCACTGAAATCACATTTTAAATTTTATTTGATCATGTTTTCTGTTCATGCTGGTATATATTTTGCTATACTAAGATCTTCTGGAAATATTTGTGTCAGAGAAATATTACTCTTTATTGCCAAAGAGCACTGATTTATACCACTTGTAATCTCTAAACAGCTCTGGGCGTTGAAGGTTATAATTGTAGACCTACATTGCCACCTAATGGTAGGAAGCTTAATCACATCATATTTTAAGCATATTTTAAGTTGGAAATGTTTTTTTGTTTTTTTTTGTTTTTTTTTTTTGTAAATACATGTAAAACGTTAAAGCAGTATCTTCCTACAAGAACATTATATAGAGTTGGCATAAGAGCAGGGTAATCACTCACCAGACATATTGGCAAGGCTAGAGACTGAATTTCTATTCCCTTACTGATCTACCATCTCTGAGTCCCAGCTCCTCTCAGATACAGGTATTAAAGATCTTCAGATTTTATCTTTTATCTCCCTACCTTCACTTCTGTCCTTATGCCAAACCTGTTCTGTTAAGATGCTAGTTCCAGACAACCAGTTGGAGTCTAGAATCAACTTGGAATATGGCTGGTGTCTGGGTTGCTAAAAGGTGAGTTCCTGTGTTGGCATCCACATGTGCCCAAGTCAGCACTTACCATGAATTCCCCTAAAGCTACATGTTTCCTGTCTTTAAAAGAAAAATTCCCTGATGAAGCTGAAATACAATTATGAACCTCTGCATTGCACCCCAGGTGTCTGTAAACTAAAGCCCTCAGTGCCATTTCAGCACATCAGCTTCCTCTCTACATGGAGAAGTCATGAAAAATAAAATAATTGGCTAAACTCTCCTTACCCAAAGACTTCGAGCCAAGAATCAGCCACCTGTCCAAGGTAAGCATCAACAAGACTATAGAGCTTGGGTCAGGGATCACCAAATGAGAACCCTTGGCTGTATCTCTAACCCAGATGAGAGTCAAAGTGTTCACCCCAGTCCTGCATGCCATAATTAGAGGTGCTTCTTCCTGGGAGCCAGCTATGAGCCACATACGTAACCCTTATTCTCCCTATCTTACCGTATCTTCCTGATATGAGTAGCCAGCAAGCCTCTTTACAGTGTCTTAGAGGTTTTTACAACAGGCAAGAAATGGCACAAAGAAAAAGAACAAAATGCAGATGGAGAAGTAATAACAAGAACAAGAAGGAAAAGAGAGGAAAAGGAAGAACTTGTGTCAGGTAGAAATATGTTATACTATTATATACGATGCACCCTCTCCAGGACTAGACACTTCTATGGTGAAGAAATCCTTGCCAGCTGATATTGAAGGAACAGCCAAAATAAATGGAAGCACAGGACTTCAAAGACATAATGTATAGTTCAATACATGTTCTACTGGTACAATAGAATAAAATATACCCTGATTAGGGGCCATTGAAATATCTAAAATGTCAAATTAACAAGAAGCCATCTTTAGTAATGTCATTATAGATAAGGCTAGAAATCTTCTAGTCATCTGTGTTAAGAAAGATTTTTTTGAACCACATCTTGGGTTTAGCAGTAGAAGCTGGCTGATTGATTAGCAATGTTTTCCACATCCACACACTTTCCAGATAGTTTATTTTTATTTTCTAGAACCATCCTACCATTAACTACTTCCTGTTTCTCTACACACATGCTATTCAAATTTCAACGTGGATATGAAACACTAAAATGCAGATTCAGACACAGTAGGCAGGGGTAGAGCCAAGGATTCTGCATTTCTGAGAAATTCCCAAGTGATGCTCATGCTGGTCCATAGGCCTGTCAGGTCTCCTTTTTTAACATTACGACAATTTCCCTTGGTAATCACCCAGAAATATTATTACTTTATTCCTTTTTCTTACTGCTGGCCAGGCAGAGAAGTAAGACAGTAGCCACTGCTGTCAGGTCTTAATAATCAGAAAACTTTTAAAATTTAATATAAAAGATTCCTAAAATATGTTATTACTTTCATTGTGATATATCTGTATATTTATGTGTATGTATATGTTCATAAAGTCTGATTTATCATGCTTTTATTGGTAGAAAGCTTCTCTCAACACTCTTCCTAGACTACACAAATGATTGATTTTTCTTAAAATGACCCTGAAGTTCTGCAAGATCCTAAACTCCCTGCTAAATTATCAAATAACTCATATTCACTACAGTTGCATAATTAATTTTACTTTATTACAGTCAAATTTTTAAAAATGTCATCCCAAACATGATATACATGGTAATTCTCAGTTACTTCAAATACATTTCACCCAACAATGAAAATGGCGAGGGATACTTACTCATTTTTATGAAGATTATAACTTAAAAGGAGCATGTGTGAAAAACTCAGAAGATACAGATACTGACAAGTTAATCAGTTTATATCTTTGCACATTATCAGTTGTGAAAAATTCCAAGATAAAAAGCTTTTTTAATCATAGTAGCTCCCAGAGAGGGTGTAGGCCTTGTACCTTGTGCAAAAGCACATTTTCCTCGTGGAAAAATTACCCAACTGAGTCTTCCTCTTCTTTTAAATTATAGTTGATGTCAGTCACCAAATCAAAATGATCATGAGGCATGTCCCTGTTAATGGCCAGCTTTTCAGTTCTATGTAGAGTCAATGGGCCCACTGTCTGCTCCAGGTCCCTCAATACTTGAAAATTCTGTGTCAATAAGCGGTTTCAGAAATTTCTCAACCTTGGTTAATCTTTGTTTCAGTTTCTGCTGCATGGACTCATACTCAGCCAAAATTCGGGCAAACCTTGTTTGCAGGAGGTCTACTGACCCCTCCATTCGAGTAACCTTCTCTTCAAGGTCTTTCGGATCACTGCCAGCATTTGCAATGTTTAGATCCAGTAGACCATCTTTCATAAGAATCTGTCTCCCCTTCTCTTCCAGCATCGTTTTGGCATCTGGGTACTCAGTTAGAGCTTCCATGAGGTCATCTTTTGAGAGACAGAAAAGGTCCGAGTAGCCAATACTTTTAATATTGGCCGTTCTTCGATTGCCGGCTTTGCTTCCTTTAATGTTAAGAATGCTGATCTCGCCGAAGTAGCTGCCATCGCTCAATACCACAAACTGAGTGACTCCATCATCTGCCACCACAGCGAGTTTACCTTCCTTGATAATGTACATCTCTCGTCCGATATCCCCTTTTTTGCAAATGTAATCTCCAGGACTGTAGACTTGGGGCTGCAATTTCAAGACCAACTCTACCAACAGACCAGCTTCACAATCAGCAAAAATGCGTACCTTTTTTAATGTGTCTAGGTGAACGTTGATGGCAATTTCTGCTCTCAGTTTATCAGGTAGATACTTTAAGACTTCTTTCTCATCGACTGTTTTTTTGTTGGTCCAGAGGTAGTCAAACCATTTAATAACCCTCTTTTCCATATCTTTGCTTACATTTCGAAAATGCATATATTGCTTGATGGCATCAATTCTTGCTTGAAATTCTGCTCTGGCTGCATTCATGTTGGAAATCATAGAACCTATGTTACCAACAATGGTAGCAAAAATTAACACTCCAATTAGGAAATCAACCACCACAAAGACATACTCAGAATCCCTCACAGGAGGGGGCGTTTCACCAATGGTCGTCAAAGTCAGTGTAGACCAGTAGAGGCTGTACACATATTTTCTAGCCAAACGGCCAAATTCAGGATCATTAATATCAGGGTAGACCCATGTATCATTTCCAAATCCAATAGCTTTAGAAATAGAGTAGAACACACATGCATTCCAGTGGATAATGATGACAATATACATAACGAGGTTTGAAATCCTGAAAATGTTTGGATAATTTGTCCTTGTTTCTGTTCTCTGGAAGAACTCAAACATACGAGAGATCCTTAACAGCCTGTTTAATCTAATTTCTGGATAGTTCCACCCTAACTTAAAATACAGCAAATCAGTTGGTATCAGTGACAGAACATCAAGTTTAAATTGCAAGTTGGATTTATATTTATTTATGAGTTTAAGTTCTTCCCTTACCAGCAGTCCTTGCTCTAGGTAACCTAAAATAGAAAAAAAAAAATCAATTCAGTGTTTCTCCTTTTTATGCCATTATGAATTTTTGTGAAGTTACTGTCAATTAACTTTGTTGAGGTCAAAAGAAAAATTCATTTTCAATAAATATACCTTTAACAATGTAATAAAATACAAATACCAATCAACCTATGGCTGTAGAAAATATTCTGTGGCAGAAATCAAAGGAAAATTTTGGCCAGACAGCTCATGTCTATAATGCCAGCGCTTTGGGAGGCTAAAACAGAGTATCACTTGAGCCCAGGAGTTCAAGGCTTCTGTGAGCCATGATAGCACTACTGCATTCCAGCCTAGGCAACAGCGAGACCCTGTTTCCAAAACAAAAAGAAAAAAGAAAGAAAAAGTAAAATTTTGTAAGTGCAAAAGTGAGAGTGTACAAATTTCTCAAGGTCTATCATCTTCATCCAGGTGAAGCCATTCCTCTTATGAGTAGTGTTCTTCTGATATTGTGAGAAATATATATATATTTCGTCTCTGGCACAGAACTCTTAAAACTCTTATAATTTCCTAAGCAATATGGATACTAAGTGCATCTCTTTTTTTGAGATGGAGTCTCACCCTGTAGCCCAGGCTGGAGTGCAGTGGCACAATCTCAGGTTGCTGCAACCTCCGACTCGTGGGTTCAAGTGATTCCCCTGCCTCAGTCTCCTGAGTAACTGGGACTACAGGCGCGCACTGCCATGCCTGGCTAATTTTTGTATTTTTAGTAGAAATGGAGTTTCACCATATTGGCCAGGGTGGTCTTAAACTCCTGACCTCGTGATCTGCCCACCTTGGCCTCCTAAAGGGCTGGGATTATAGGCATGAGCCACTGTGCCTGACCCTAAGTGTGCCTTTTGTTCTGGTATTTGGTTCTTGACCCCAGTTCCTGAAACAGAGTTCCTTATCCCTTGATATTTCCTGGGTGATAGAATTGTCTTTTGTTCTGGCCAGGTGTGACAGCTCACACCTGTAATCTCAGCACTTTGGAAGGCTGAGGCAGGAGGATCCCTTAAGTCCAGAAGTTTGAGACCAGCCTAGGTAACTCCATATTACTTTTAAGAGAAGAAGAAGGAAAAAAGCAAAACAGAAAGAAAAAGAAAGAAAAGAAAGAAAGAGAGAGAGAGAAAGAGAAAGAAAGGAGGAAAGAAGGAAGGAAAGAAAGAGAAGGGAAGGAGGGAAGGAGAAGGAAAGAAGGAAGGAAGAAAAGCAAAAGGAAAGAAAAAGAAAAAGAAAAAAGAGAAAGAAAGAAATCAAAAATGTCTTCTGATCTTTTGTTCTAATGAGGCAGCTCTTGGTGAGCTCCAAGATGGAGGCTGGTCACCAGAAAGACTAAGTTATATTTAGAAACTTGGAACTTTTAGCCCTAACCCCCTTCATCCAGGAAAGGGAGAAGCACTGGATACTGGGTTAATAGTCCATCATACCTCCATGATGAAGCCTCTATAAAAATCCCTGAACTATGGGCTTTGGAAGACTATCAGGTTGGTGAACACATCTACAAACTAGGAGGGTGCCACACCCCAGTTCCATGGGGACAGAAGCCCCTGTTCTCATGATTCTTCCCAACTTTTATGTATCTCTTCATCTGGCTCTTCATCTGTAACCATGATCATACCCTTTACTAATATAATAAAGCAGTAAACATCAGTGTTTTCCTAAGTTCTATAAGTTGTGCTAGCAAATGATTGGACCCACAAGGGAGGGGTGGTAACGCCAATTTATAGCTGGTTAGTCAGAAGCACCAGCCACAGCCTGAAGCTTACAGTTGGCCATCGAAGTGGGGAACCATCTTGGGAGACAGAGCCCACCCTTAACCTGTGGGGCCTGTTCTAACTCTCTTAGTGTCTGAATTCAGTTAAACTTTAACCCAGCTGGTGTTACAGAATTGCTTGGTGTGGAAAGGAAACACCACATACATATTGGTGACCAGAATTGTGTTGTATGGAGAGTGTAGTAACATACAATGGCTTGTTGTTTTCTTCCCCACCACAGACAGCTCATAGGAGGTTTCCTGAACACGCGAGCAATGTGCCTAATAGCCCATGCCACTGGCTTGTCAGAATCCCAGTCCTACCCCGGACACTTGGATACTTGCCCCGTGCTTTCTGTTTTTCATATTCTTGCCTTACCCCTTCAAATGAAACAGAAGTGTCCTTGAGTCTGCATTTTCATCTCTCATTCCTGTTGCCTTAGACACTTGGGATCTTCCCTTCTGTGCTGTTACCATGGGCCTCGTGTGTTTTAAGCCCAGCATTTCAGCCCTCTGATATGTTATGTTAGAAAAGGGATTTGCTTTCTCCTAAACTGGCTAACAGAGCTACAAATATGACAGAGCAAGTGAGGCACTGTTCCAGGATACTAGTATTTTAAAAATGTTTGATTTTATGTGATGATTCTTAATAGGTTATAGTCTATGTATACCAGTTACACTGGCATGTAGAGAGCAGGGTAGAAACAATGAGCTTCTACCTATTTAACAGAAATACTTCAAGGAGAAAGCTATTCCCTCTGGTCAATAATATCTCACCACAAACCAAAGGTGAGTAAAGTGTATTTTTCCTGTCTTTTTAAAAATTTCGAGTATGGCTGTGCTGAGGACAATGACATTTTCCCCCATGACTCCAAATTATCTCCCTGTTAGGTAGCACTTACTCTCCCCCCTATAGCTGGCAGAATATTTCTGCTTTCTCTATTCCTCTTGCCTGGCACAAAACCAATGAACAGGATAATGGAGGAAAGCCACATCTACAGTCAAAATGTTGCCTGGTAACTTCCTCTGAATCAGCCGGAGTAGCCGATGCCTGTGAGTATACATCGTGACTCTTCTTTCACTTGTGCCTTTTCCTCTAGAACAGACTTTTGTGAGTTTACTTTGAGGAATACTTGGATTAGAAAATGTCAAATTACAATGCTAGAGATAAAAGCATGAAATTTTAAAATATTCAAAACCAAATGTATTTACCTGTCCTTATTCGTACGAACATATCCATCAAATAGACTATGTCTGACACATAATCCAAAACGATCCAATATTCTAGGTAATCAGACTGAAGCTCATCAAAACATGCTCTGTAAAAAAAGAAACACTTGTATAAACAGAAAAGAAATGGGGGCCAAATTAAGTAAAAGTTCTCTTTGTATCTTTTCTTTATCAGGATGAAAAGCACAGCACGCTATGGTTAGGAGAGGACCTTAGAGTTCTTTAACCAACCATGGCTTTTCCGAAACTTTCCCTGAGTGGTTGGATTTTGATTCTCGCACTTCTGAATTCCAACATCGTTTCCATAACACTAATCAGCTTTGTAAAAACATCCAATAAGAATAAGTAGGTTGAAGGGGACAAGTAAACAGTAAGACAAAAGGAATGAATTCAATGTTTGATAGCAGACTATACTTAACAAAAATGTATTGGACTTGGGTAATGGACACCCTAGATACCCTGACTTTATCACTATGCATTATGTACAAGTAACAACATTTCACATGTACCCTATACACTTGTACAAATAAAAAATATTTAAATCAATTAAAAAAATAAATGGCCTAAAACTAAAATCAAAATATGTTGGGTGAAACACACTGATCACCAGGTTCATACTGACCATCTGTACCCAAAACGCGTTAGGAAATTGTGCTTGGTCTTGGATGAGTGAGATGTTTACCATATAAAAGGCAGGGATTCCTTGATCTTTTTCCGCTATTTGGGAACATTTTTTTTTTTCTCATAGGTCAAAGAAAATAGTTTCTCCTGATGTTCTAATTAAGTTATTATACAACCAAAAGTTTAAAAATCTTCCCCTCCAACAACAGATACTGGGGTCTATTTGAGAGTGGGGGGTAGGAGAAGGAAGAGAACTGGAAAAAATAACTCTTGGGTACTGGGCTTAACAACTGGGTGAGGAAATAATCTGTGTACCAAACCCCTGTGACATGAATTTACCTATATAATAAGCCTGCATATGTACCCAGAACCTCAAATAAAAGTTAAAAAATTTTAAAAATAAAAGTCTTCCCCTCACCCCTCCACCCATCCCAGTACTGGAGACCCAATTATATTGAGAACTGAAGCACCTCCTCCTGATCCCAGGAAAACACACTGAGAATAATCTAGCCTCTCTTTACCACCTGTGGTAGAGAAAGAAGGTGTGTCCTAAAAGGCTCTAAGTCAAATTGTTTAGTCAGTGAACTTGGAAACTAGAAGTGGACTGAAATCCACACACACAAAAAAATATACAGACACCTTGCAATAACCATTGTCCAGTTGTACATTACAGGTAAGGTGATGCAAAACAGCCAGTTGTAATATGTGTTTCCTGAGGGATCAATAACCACAACTTCTTTCTTCTCCCTAGCAGCAATTAGAAATAAAGGGGATAGTTACTGAGATACAAGAACATTTTTGTTTACCATATTAAACATCGTTATGCCTACAATTAAGAAATGGAAGTAAGCCAGAGAAGCTCATTCTGCAGGGGGAAGATCAGCATGGCATAAGAGTGCTAGTCGTAAGAAAGTGGTTAGTGAGGGGTGGATAGATAACGAAATGACTAGTCTTACATGAAAGCAAATATTAGGTTTTTACTAGAGCCCTGGTTTCACTGCAAAGCTGCAGTCAGTTGTGTATCTCAGCCACTGAGAAGAAATAGTGGCATAGATCGGGGTCCCCAACCCTGAAATGCTGCAGTCAGTTGTATACTTCAGCCACTGAGAGGGAAATGTGGCATAGATCAGGGGTCCCCAACCCCTGGGCTATGGGCCAGTGCTGGTCTTTGGCCTGTTAGGAACCGGCTGGGCCACACAGCAGGAGGTGAGCTGCAGGGCCAGCGAGCTTTATTGCCTGAGCTCCTCTGCCTCCTGTCAAATCAGCAGAGGCACTAGATTTTCATAGGAGCACAAACCCTATTGCTATCTGTGCGTGCAAAAAATCTAGGTTGCACACTGCTTATAAGAATCTAATTTAAGCAGTGTGCAACCTAGATTTTTTGCACGCACAGATAGCAATAGGGTTTGTGCTCCTATGTAATCCCAGCACTTTGGGAGGCCGAGGCGGGTGGATCACGAGGTCAAGAGATCGAGACCGTCCTGGTCAAAATGGTGAAACCCCGTCTCTACTAAAACTACAAAAAATTAGCTGGGCATGGTGGTGCGTGCCTGTAATCCCAGCTACTCAGGAGGCTGAGGCAGGAGAATTGCCTGAACCCAGG